TTTTCTTTTTGCTTATGTGGTGCTGAGGAATTGAACCCAGGGCCTCAGGCATGCAAGGCAAGCACTCTACCACTGAGCCACCTTCCCAGCCCTGATTTTTTTTTTCTTGATCATAGACCTGATTGTATTAGATATACTAGAACTAGGAGCCAGATTCCTTAGCACTGTTGATGGCACGAATTCATATTATAGTCAAGTGCCAGTAGCTCACACCTATAAATCCTAGCTATTCAGGAGGCTGAGATCTGAGGGTCGACGTTCAAAGCCAGCCTGAGCAAGAAAGTCTGTGAGACTCTTATCTCTAATTAACTGCCTAAAAACCAGAAGAAGTGCTGTAGCCTTAAGCAAAGAAACAACTCAGGGAAATGCCCAGGCCATGAGTTCAAGCCCATGACTAAGAAAAAGAAAGTCAGGATGTTTGTACAATAGTCAGTTAATCAGACCTTATTTGCCTGTAGGTTTTTTTGTTATTGTTTGTTGTCGGTTGTAGGGCTTGAACTCTAGGCCTGGGTGCTGTCCCTAAGCTCTTCAGCTCAAGGCTAGTGAGTGCCCTACCACTTAAGCCACAGCCTACTTCCAATTTTCTGGTGGTTAATTGAAGATAAGAGTCTCACAGACTTTCCTGCCCAGGCTGACCTTGAACCATGGTTCTCAGATCTCAGCCTCCTGAGTAGCTAAGATTACAAGTGTGAGCCACTGGCACCCAGATGCCTGTGAGTTACTTCTGACTTTGTACCATTATTCTTGTTGTTGTTAAACATTCTTATAAAACCTTTGACTGAATCTATGATTATTTCCACAGATACGAATTTTTACAAGTGAAGTTAATGGTACAAAAGTCACAAATCTTTATAAGGTTTTTAATCCATTTTTTTCAGATATCTTTCCAGGAGAGATGTACCAGTGTAGTGCCCACCAGCATTAGGGGGCCCATTTCACTGCATCCTATTCAGCACTGGTGGTGTTGTAGTTTGTATTTGTTTAATTACATTTTGACAGTAACTTTACCAAAATTTGTGTAAGACTAGGCATAGAGGCTCATACCTGTTATCCTAGATACTTCAGGAGGCACAGAGGAGAAGAAGATTATGATTTGAGGCCAGCCCTGGCCAAAAAAAAAAAGACTAAACCCCATCTCAGCTAATAAAAACCTAGCATGATGATTCTTTTCTGTCACCCTAGCCACATGGGAAGAATTGCTGTCCAGGCCAACCTGGGTAAAAATAAAAGACCCTATTAAAAAAAAAAAAAAAAGAAATCAAATGGGGTTAGAAGTATGCCTGAAATGGTAGCATACCTCAGCTTAACAAAGCCCAAGCAAGGTCCTGAGTTCAAACACGTGTCATGTTACATGTGTCACAAATTGACAAGAGCTTGATTTTCTATGCCAGCCTTCACTTCAGTCTAGAGCAGAATATTAAGATAAGGCTTCTTGGAAAGAAAGTATAGAAAATGATCAGATGTAAAAACCTAGATGAAAAGGTTTTCAGGTAGAGGGTGTGTACAGGGTGGCATCAATGTGAAATAGGGCACACTGGCATCTCCCTGAAGTGTTTGTGGTTGACAGTGCAAAGGCGAATAACCCTCAATTCCCAACCTCTTCCCCAAAAGTTCCCCAAACATAATGATTCTACTTCATCAAGAAGAATTTTTAGCCAGATGCCAGTGGCTCACACCTATAATCCTAGCTACTCAGGAGGCTGAGATCTAAGGATCACAGTTCAAAGCCAGCCCAGGCAGGAAAATCCAATTAACCACCAGAAAACCGGAAGTGGCACTGGGGCTCAAGTGGTAGAGCGCTGTCCTTGAGCTGAAGAGCTGAGCCCCATGACTGACCCCCTCCCCACCCTCCACCCCCACAAAAAAAAGAATTTTTATAAATGCCATGCTTTTCATGTTTAAAGAATGTATATGCCAGGCACCGGTGGCTCATACCTGTAATCCTAGCTACTCAGGAGGCTGAGATCTGAGGATCATGGTTCAAAGCCAGCCAGGACAGGAAAGTCTGTGAGACTCTTATCTCCAATTAACTACCAGAAAACTAGAAGTGGTGCTGTGGTAGAGTGCTAGCCTTGAGCTGAAGAGCTCAGGGACAGCACCCAGGCCCAGAGACAACAACAACAAAAAATGAGTGGATATACATGCTATTGAAAGTATCTACCAAAAACACTTTTAAATAGCCATGTGAACTTAAAATAGGAAAACAGGATTATTTTAACAAAATAACTACATTCAAGGGCCAAGCATAGTGGCCTATACCTCTAAGGCCAGATACTCAGGAGGTAGAGATTTGGAGGATCAAAGTTCTCACTATCTCTTCTACCTTGACTGGCCTTTTAAGCTTCGTTCCTCCAAATCCCTACCTCCTGAGTATCTGGGGTTAGAGGTGTAGCCTCATGTGCATCCCCACTTCACTTGCAGCTGTAGCACCACATGCACTATGTGTGCCACATGTACATGCCTTCCCCAACCTAGCTTTGAAAAGCATACTCATACTTCTAGGGTCACTCAGTTAAGCTATGGCCACAACATTTTTGAACTTGGCAAAAGTGATTTCCTTGAGTTTTGTGTTACATATCTGTCCCACCGGCTTCCAATCTGTTAGCATAGGTTTGTTTTGTTTTTTTGGATTTTTTTTTTTTTTGCCAGTCCTGGAGCTTGTACTCTGGACCTGAGCACTGTCCTGGGTGCTCTTACCACTTGAGCCAGCTTTTTCTGGTAGTTTATTGGAGATAAAAGTTTCTTGGACTGCCGGGCGCTGGTGGCTCACGCCTGTAATCCTAGCTACTCAGGAGGCTGAGATCTGAGGATCGCAGTTCAAAGCCAGCCCGGGCAGGGCAGGAGAGACCGTGAGACTCCTATCTCCAATACACCACCAGAAAACCGGAAGTGGCGCTGTAGCTCAAGTGGTAGAGCGCTCGCCTTGAGCTGAAGAGCTGAAGGACAGTGCCCAGGCCCAGAGTTCAAGCCCCACGACCGACAAAAAAAAAAAAAGTTTCTTGGACTTTTCCTGCCCAGGCTGGCTTCAAACCATGATCCTCAGATCTCAGCCTCCTGAGTAGCCAAGATTACAGATGTGAGCCACCAGTGCACAGCTTAGCACAGGTTTTATAGCCATATTCCTGGAAAATATATAGCTAGTTGATCAAATTGGCCATAAAATATTGTGGAACCCATGCTGCTAGAGGTATGAAGCTTGGTGGTGGGCCATGTACTAAGTATACACAGGCCCTAAGATCTATTCCTAGCACAATGGAAATAAGATACACATGAGGTCCTTGCCTTGATAAAGGTAAGTTTAGAAGATATGTCAAGCTGGGCACTGGTAGCTCACACCTGTAATCCTAGCTACTTAGGAGGCTGAGATCTGAGGATCACGGTTCAAAGCCACATATACAGGAAAGTCTGTGAGACTCTTATCTCTAATAAACCCCCAGAAAACCAGAAGTAGCACTGTGGCTCAAATGGTAGAGTGCTTGCCTTGAACTGAAGAACTGAGGGTCAGTGCCCATGCCCAGAGTTCAAGACCCACAACTGACAAAAAAAAGTCTGTACCAAACTGTCTACTGATAATTGCTGTGACACATTAGTGCAAGAGGAGTCCAGCTTTACACTGCAGATCCTGAGCTCTTAAAGCAGAGTCTAGGTATAAGAAATGACAAAGGTTCTACTTCAGGGCCTGGAGAGGACAGAGAAGGAAGACTTTGGAGTATCTCAGGGTTCCATTATTGAAACCAGTTATGCTGGAAAGGCATCTAAGAGATCCCTGTAGCACAGGGCCATGGTCCAGTTCACCTCTCAAAGAAGTAAGTTACCTTGTGCACATATTATGTAGCCAGTGCACAGAATCTTTAGATTTGGCATGATATTTAGACTTACCTTGTAACAGATTCAGATAATGAAATTAGTCAGAACTTTAGAGGAGAACTGAACTAATAGATCTAACATGTACCCACATATAATCCTACTAATCCCTTTAAGCTGGTTCTGCCCTTGGTAAATGGAGCTGTTGATCTTGCAAGGTCATTTTTAGCCAAGTTAAAATTGCTTTTTGTTGTTGTTGTTGGTTGTGGGTCTTGAACTCTGGGCCTGGGTTCTGTCCCTGAGCTCTTCAGCTTAAGGCAAGCACTCTCTACCACTTGAGCCACAGTGCCACTTCCCGTTTTCTGGTGGTTAATTGAAGATGAGAGTCATGGATTTTTTTTCCTCCCCAGGCTGGCTTTTGAACCTTGAATCTCAGATCTCAGCCTCCTGAGTAGCTAAGATTACAGGCGTGAGCCACCAGCACCCAGCAAGCCAAGCTGTTTCTTACTGTTGTAAAAATTTATAAAATGATTCTCTTTTTCAGGTTGAATGTAATTCTCGCCTCAACCCTATAAATACAACTTTGCTAAAGGTAATGTATCTTCCTGCCTTGCCATCCACCTCTGAAAATTATACATGCTACAAATTAGAATGTTTTCTACAGTAGTTTCATAGAAGCTTCACTGTTTAATTCTGTCTCCCTCTCTTTTAAAATAAGAATTTTTATTCCTGATTATATTCTGATTGTAGAAAATACAGAAAAACATGATACAGTGCCTCCTGTCTATAATCTGAGCTACTCCAGAGGCTGAGATTATAAGGATCACATTATGAAGCCAGCCCAAGCAAAAAGTTCATAAGACCCCCTTCTCAACTTGTACACTTGTCATTCCAGCAATGGCAGGAAGTATAAAATAGATGACTTTAGCCCAGGTTCCAAAAGGTAGCCTGTTGTAAATGTTGTTTTGTTTGGACAGGATCATAGTGTAGGGTGTCCTGGAACTAGCTATATGCCCTGGCAGGTCTTGAGTTTACCATCTTCCTTCCTCTATCCCTTGAGTGTTGGGATTACAGATAGGGGCTACCACATCCATCTACCTATGCATTAAGATCAGAGGATATCTACAGCTCTATATTTGATTTCCTCATGATCTTGTCATAAACATTTTCCATGTCATTAAAAAAAATTTTTTTTTGGGTCCAGTCATGGGGCTTGAACTCTGGGCCTGGGCACTGTCCCACAGCTCTTCAGCTCAAGGCTAGCGCTCTACCACTTGAGCCCAGCGCCACTTCTGGCTTTTTTTTTTTGTTTATATGGTGCTGAGGAATTGAACCGAGGGCCTCAGGTATGCAAGGCAAGCGCTCTACCACTGAGCCACCTTCCCAGCCCCCTCCTTAAAATTTTTGTAGCCATTAATCAGTGGATTATGATAAGGCAAGAGATGGAAAATATACCCCAAATCCGGCAATATTGGTAATTAATTGGTACTTGTTGAGTGCAAGTAAACAAACTCTTGTACTAGTACAAGAGTACTAGTTGGTTACAAGTACCAACTCTTGGGCTAGTACCAAAATTGTTTGCCTTTCACATATATTACAGTAAACACTTCCAAGTTTAGTATTGTCTCAACCAAGTTTGCCCTAAAACATGGCTGATGTCTTCAGAAAACTGCTACCTGTTTACCTGCAGTACCAAAGATTCAAATGCTGCTATTTTATTGCTTTCTGCTCTGGTTTCAGTCTTTCTTTTTTTTTTCTTTTTTTCTTTTTTTATCCGTTGTAGGGCTTGAACTCTGGGCCTGGGTGCTGTCCCTGTGCTCTTCAGTTCAAGGCGAGTGCTCTACCGCTTAAGCCACAGTAACACGTCCGGTTTTCTAGTGTTTTATTGGAGATAAGAGTTTCATGGACTTTCCTGCCCAGGCTGGCTTTGAACCGTGATCCTCAGATCTCAGCCTTCTGAGTAGCTAGGATTACAGGTGTGAGCCACCGGTGCCCGGCTTCAGTCTTTCTTCTGTAAGATTTCTGTCTGCTTTCTTCCCTTTCTGTATAAAGTGTTTGAAAGAGATTCTCTGTCATCAGAAGTAACACATAGTTCTAGAAACACACCAGGTGCTTAGTGCTATGACATCAAAGGCTCTGGTCTCCAGTTGATTGATGTTACTTGTCTATTACGGAAAAAAAAGACTATGGTTTCCATTTTTTTTCACTTCAGGTTTGAAATCAGTATTCAAAAACACAAAAACCACTGGATGTGGTGATGCAGTTAGTAATGAAAGAAAGTAAGGGAACAAAGAAATGGGAGGATCTCAGTTCAGATTTTTGCTACCTCAGGCAGAAAAGGTGATGAAACCCTATCTCAATAAACAGTTGGGGCATGGTGGCCTAAGCCTGTAAATCCAACTACTTGGGAAGTATAAGTAGGATGATCATGGTCTGAGGCTAAATTCAGGAAAAGGGAGACCCTGTTTGAAAAGTGTTGGAACTTTAGCTGAAAGGAAAAAGAGATTGACTAGCAAGAGCAAGACACAGTACTCCTCCCACCAAAAAAAAAAAAAAAAAGGAAAAAGAAAAATGAATTACAGAAGAACAGAAAAAAATACTGAACTCCATGCCTAGGTATAGATGAGGAGTTTGGGGGCATGCGTGCCCAACCACAAGTTTTTCCCAGTATTCGATGGTTCTATCAGACTTCAGTGCTAACCTGCATGAAAATACAGCCTTAGCTCATAGGTCTATTTTATCAGATTAAGTATATGCTTCTCATCTGATGCCTAGATTTTCAAGATTGTTACCTCTTTACCTCAAACTCTTAAACCTTCTGTAGCATTTTCCTCTCCTACATAGCAGTCCTCTTTCGAACCTGGCCATAATGCCAGTGAATTCAAACCATGAGATTTGTGTCTTTCTCAAAAAATGTCAGCTGAATAGATCCTCCAAGGTCACTTTATAAAAGCTGGAAGGAAAGAGGCTTGTTCCTACTTGGGCCCCATTTCTTAGCAGAGCTGAAGGTAGACTAAAAGCTATTGCATCTGCAGCTGCTGGTTAAAATGCAGATTCTTTTTTTTTAATAAGCTTTTTTTTATTGTGAAAATAACCGTACAGTGGGGGGTTACAATTACATGAGCAAGGTAATGAGTACATTTCTTATCAAGCATTGATGCCTCTTCCTTTGTTTCCCTTTACCATCCCTGCCCTCCCATCTCCCACCCCCACAAAATGCAGATTCTTGAACCTCACTCAGATCTATTCAGTTGAAATCTCTGAGACAGGAAGCCAGGAATGTGAGTTGTACCAAGTAATTCCAGTGCACACTAGGGAAGCTGTAAGAATAACCAGAGTGAAACCTTCAGAAGTGAAAGCAGCCCCACCAGATCCAATTAGCTAGGTCAGTAGCTGATCAGGCAGAATTCAGCTTTGACTCCTGATTGGATCATTTCTTTTTGTCTTGGTATGAGGACAATGTAGACTTGAAGGGAGACTGAAGTTAGAGGATAACAAGCTCAAGTCCAGGCTAGACAACATAGTGCAACTCCTTTTCTGTCCGTTCCCCAAAGAAGGAATTTTACTTTCTTTTTTATTTTTGGGGTCCGATCGTGGGGCCTGAACTCTGGGCCTGGGCACTGTCCCTCAGCTCTGCGGCTCAAGGCTAGCACTCTACTACTTGAGCCACAGCGCCACTTCCGGCTTTTTTCTTTTTTCTTATGTGGTGCTGAGGAATCAAACCCAGGGCCTCGAGCATGCAAGGCAAGCGCTCTACTACTGAGCCACCTTCCCAGCCCCTAAAGAAGGAATTTTAAAATGGGATCTAAACTGGGCGCTGATGTTCACATCAGCCACTTCGGAAGCTGAGATCTGAGGATCACAGTTCGAAGCCAGACTGGGTAAGAAAAGTCTATGAGGCTCTTATCTTCAATGAACTGTCAAAAGTGCCAAAAGTGGAGCTGTGACTCAAGTGGTAAAGTGCTAGCCTTGAGAGCAAAAGAAGCTTAGGAAAAGGGCCTAGACCCTGTAGCCCTAGGACTGGCAATAATAATGATTAATAATAATAATGTAATAAATGAGATCTAGAAAGAATGAAGCACTAAAAAGTTGAAGACTCTGAAAGTAACATTCCTTGGGGGAATGCAGAGCCGTGATTGAAACTAGTAGCTGAGTTTGCTGTCACCCAGAAAAAGTTTTATGTGGGCATGAAACCCAGACATACACAAGGCATCTTAGGCATAAGTAAGCACTGAACGAACAACTCTTCTTGAATTTCTACATAAAAGGAACCTAAAATTCAATTATGGTCTTTTGAAAGGACTTGGGTATTCAGGGTATTTCTCTCTCTCTCTCTCTTTTTTTTTTTTGTTGGTTGTGGGTCTTGAACTTTGGGCCTGAGCATTGTCCCTGAGCTCTTCAGCTCAAGGCCAGTGCTCTACCACTTGAGCCACAATGCCACTTCCAGTTTTCTGGTGATAAATAGGAGATAAGAGTCTCACGAACGTTCCTGCACAGGCTGGCTTTGAACCGTGATCCTCACATCTCAGCCTCATGAGTAGCTAGGATTTCAGGTGTAAACCACCAGTGCCCGGCTCAAGGCATTTCTCTTAATATAAGTCCTGACCACTTACACATTTTTCCTCTTCTAGATGGCAGACTGTGGGGGGCTGCCCCAAGTAGTTCAGGTAAGGAATTTTAAATACTACTTTGAAACATCTGTGCAGTACTATGCTCCTAACTTTTACAAAGAGTAATAATGTCTTGTTTCATCTCCTCAGCCTGGGAAGCTTACTGAGGCCTTCAAGTACTTTTTGCAGGGAATGGGATACAGTGAGTAATATACAGCTTTCTACCTAGCAAAGGTTTATAGATAACTGGGTCAGTTTGACACATGGGAGGCACAATTAGCAAGGCATAAAGTTTGTGCTAGTGTGCCCTAAAGTAAAGACCAAAATGTTTGTGGACATTCATTTGTGCATATGTCTGAGATAAACTGACATTTAAGCATTTACCTGTGTCAGGCAGTATATATTCCTAATCAAAGATGTAACTCTTATAGACAAGAAAACTGAGTTTAAAGAGGTAAAGCATGTTTCCCAGGGTCACAAATCAGTTCCTGAGCCCTGACTGAAATTGTTGCAGTCTGGCTCCAGAGCCCATATTTTTACACTGAAGCCGTGGCTGTATTATGATTTGCATTTGAACTCAGCTGGTAATAACTCCCAGCCTAGAGAAAGTAGAGATTCCTGAAAAGGGAATAAAATCTGTTACTCCACAGGAGGTGAGCAGGCCCAGTATTTTAGAGTACACCCAACCATGTGTCTGTGTCCTGTGCTGCTGTCCTGGTCCCTTAGATCTGAGACCCCTGAGCTTTCTCATTTGTCACAGAAAAGCTATATTGGATCCTTTCCTGGAGTTTTAAGAAGAAAACTCTCACTCATCTATAACCTCTTTACCCAGTAAAATAAGTCCACATATTTGGTATCATTGGATAGTGGCCATTGGTGAGCTACCAAGGCAGTCGCTCTGGGCAGTTGGGCCCTGGTGCACCTGGTACCTGCAAAGCAGACCCTGTATGTTGTGTCTAGAGTGGCTGTGTCATCCCCGTCTGTGAGCTATCAACCGAGCCCACAGCTATGGTCCTAGGGCTCCCTGGGAGAAGCAGATGCCCCCTCCAAGCCTGTTCTCATGCCTTTCCCAGGACACAGCAGTTCTTCCAACCTGTCTCTGATCCAGAGCAGGGCAGGGGAACAGCTGCCTCAGCTGTTAGAAGAGTGCTGTCCACAATGAGGCTAAAGCATCAGTCAATGCCATCTCCTCTCTTGGACCTCAAAGGAACTTTGATCCCTGTTGTAGTTTTTGTCAGCATCTACTAGGCAGCTGAGGTTGCCTCTGGCCCTGTCAGGTCACTAACCTGCCTTTTCCTGTGTCCATCCTGCTTCCAGTCCCGTATGTGCAGCTCAATCACCTCAGCACCGAGTCAGGTACCTTCCTCTGTGCTGACCCCACCCACCCCCAGCCATGCTCTCCTGGCTGCATTGGCTGCCTGCAGCATGTCCGCCATTTTCCTGTGCAGTGAGAGCCCGATAGAACAGGGCTGGCTTCTTGTGCTCCAAGAGCTGAACCTCCAGGTCCAGTCAGGTCCTCCAGAAAGAGGAAAGTATCCGGTCCAGTGCCCAATCCTCCTTTCCTCACCCTAGATCCAGACTCAGAGCAGCAGTTTTGAGACAAGGTAGGCAAGGATCTCTACCACCTCCATCTGCTTCTCCTAGAAGCAAGGCCCAGACAGGAATCAAAAGGCAGCCTTGATTTTTTTTTTTGGCGGGGGGAAGGGGGGTTATTTTGTGCTGGCCTTAGGACTTGAACTCAGGGCCCAGGCTCTGTTCTTGAGCATCTTTTTGCTCAAGACTAGTTATCTACCATTTGGCCACAGGGCCACTTCTGGCTTTTTCTGAGTAGTATATTGGAAATGGAAATGTCTAATGGAGTGGTCTGGGAAGGTGGCACAGTGGTAGAGTGCTTGCCTTGCATGCATAAGGCCCTGGTTCAATTCCTAACACCACATAAGCAGAAAAAAGCTGGAAGTGGCGCTGTGGCTCAAATGGTAGAGCACTAGCCTTGAGCTGAAGAGCTGAGGGACAGCACACAGGCCCAGAGTTCAGGCCCCACAAAAGTCTCATTGAGTTTCCACCTTTGGTTGGCTTGGAACTGTGATCCTCAGATCTCAGCCTCCTGAGTAGCTAGGATTATTACAGGCATGAGCCACCAACACCTGGCAGCCTTGATTCTTAAGTAGGAAAAAATGCCTATGCTCAGAAAATTCTACAAGTGCATGTTTAGCACCCAGATTTTCAGCGACCGCTGTGGGAGTGGCTAGTGTGGCAGCACAGAAGGCAGGGATATACAGGAGAAAAGGCCCTGTCTAGATCTGACTGGAAGGATCCTTACAGTCATGGAAGTGTAACTGATAGAACTAAGTCTGAATTCAACAGCTGCAGAGTTCTCTTATAGGTTACCTCAGAGGGCCCTGTGCCTCATACCTGCATGGAGATCTGCTCCAGGCCACATGTTCTCCCCTCTATCCTGGCCTTCCTCACTTCTTCCAGATGGCAGAGGTGGCCTGTGACATGGATGGTAGTCTCGTTGTATCGGGCTGGCACTCTGTGTGTGAAACACCTTCATACTTGTGTGGTTTGTCTTTCCTGCCTTTCAATTTAGTGTTGTGCATGCACTACAGGTTTGGGTGACCTCTACTGGTTCCCAAAGCTTCCTTTCTAATCACTGTATGAGTGGCATGGGCACAGCTAAGAGTCTGTCCTCTGGACTTAGGGCTTCCCTCCCTCTGCTGTGGATTAGAATTAGCCAAGATTCCAAGCAGATGCAGAGCATCAAAACAGCCTTGCCTTCAGTCACTCAGATAGAGCAGACACTGCCAAGTGGGGGTGCTCTATCTTGTCCTGGGTGTTGTCTCAGTGGGGCTGGGAAAGCTAAACAGAAAGCCTTTGGTGAAATTTGCAGATTCACTGAGCTTCACTAGGCTCCTTCTTCTAGTCCTCTTGGTTTTTGTTTCAGTACCATCTGCTAGCATGACCCGGCTTGCCCGATCCCGAACACATTCGACCTCAAGTAGCCTCGGTTCTGGAGAAAGTCCCTTCAGCAGATCTGTCATCAGCAATCAGTCAGATGGAACTCAAGAATCCTGTGAATCCCCTGATGCTCTGGACAGACATCAGACCATGGAGGTGTCCTGCTGAGCAGATGCTCCCACTGGACATGCAAGTCCCCTTCTTCAGATGACCACTCCACAATAGAACACTTTATCCCTTCAACTGGACTCCACTAGCCTTCACACATGCATGGCCACTGACCCTCTCTCAAGTAGCCTGGATTTATCATTCTCTACCCACACACCCCTTTTTGTAAAATGTACCAAGAACCACAACCAAACCATTCTGGTAACATTCCAACATCTCTAGCTGAGCCAAGCTCCATATCTTCCCATGCCAGCTTTTCCCTGTGCTTTTCCAATTATGTATCTGATAAGATTCTTTAACCCCCAACTCCATATGTGTGCAAGCACTTGTGTCTATGTTTATGTGTGCATAGTTCTGTGATTTTAGATATGCTTCCTATAGTGCTTCTGCAGAAACAAAAAGGGACTTTGGTTTTTTTTTTGTATTTTCAATGGTGTTTTTAAGGGAAATGTGCAGAGCAGATATCTAGATGGGACCAGCCACCAGATTCTTTTTGATTCCAAGTGGCCAATAGGAGTTACAGAGGGGTTTTAGGAGAGAACAGCTCTGAGCACCACTGTTTGCCTGGGAAGTAGTAGAAGAATTGCCTGTTACAAAGAGGCAGGCTGTGTGGCAGTCACCTCCTCTGTCCTAATGGGTTCATTCATGTCCTTCTATAAATAAAAGGAATATGTTCTAGTGGAAGCTAAAGAATGATGAGGTTCTTATGCAACAGGAGTTTTCTCCAAAGAGGCCTAATTGCTAGACTTCTCTGAGTCCAGGAGGTGGAACAGAAGCCCAGCCTCTGCTGTGCAGATCAAACTGGTGCTCTGTAGCATGTTATGCCACTTGCCAGATGTCCATACATCTCAGGAAGTGCCCCCCCAGCCTCTGATGGACAATATTTTTAATAAAGGGAGTCCCAGAAAAGCATACTATGGCAGAAAAACCTCATCCTTGATGGGGAGACTGGAGGAAGAGGAAGAGCCATTAACAATATCATATTCATTAAGTGTTGCCTTGATTTCAGCAAGTCAGTGGAAGCTAGGGTAAATCCATAAGGAACCTGTTTCTGAGAAATGTTAATACATTGTAAAGGGCAGGCCCATCCAGGTTTAATTGTTTTCAGCCCCCAGTCTACTGTAGGTGAGGGGATTCCTTCAACCATGGAGAATTTCTGGGAGGAAGACAAAAGCATCGGCAGACCAGCTGCCTCAGCTCAAGGGCCCAGTTCTTGAGAGCATCAAGACGTGAGCACAGAGTTTCACAATTCTCAATCTTGCAGACAGACTTTTCAGACGCATAGTTTGCTTTCTGCTCAGATAAGGAATGTGTCACTCTGCCAGACTATGACTTTTTACAGATTATTAAATAAAGCTGTATATGTCTCATTGTTACATGACTGCTAGTGTTATTTCTTCCAAGTACTCCTGTGCTCCAAGAGGGTCTGAGTTACCATTGCTAGCTCTAAACTGTGCTATTTAGTCTGTGATCACTTATCCTCTTGGAGACACTGTGCATTTATCGAGAGGAAATGAAGCTTGAATATAAATCATTTGTCCAAGAACATAGCCAGTGGCTTATTGCTTTAATCCTAGCTACTCAGGAGACCTGAGGATCATGGTTCAGCACCAGCCCGGGTAGGAAGGTCCATGAGACTTTTTTTTTTTTTTTTTGGTCGGTTTTGAGGCTTGAACTCTGGCCTGGGTGCTGTTCCTTCAGCTCTTCAGCTCAAGGCTAGCGCTCTACCACTTGAGCCACAGCACCACTTCTGCTTTTTCTGTTTACGTGGTGCTGAGACATCAAACCTGGGGCCTCACTCATGGAAGTCAAGCACTCTACCTCTGAGCCATCTTCCCAGCCCCCATGAGACTCATATCCAATTTAGCACCAGAAAACTGAAAGTGATACTGTGGCTCAAAGGGGTAGAGCATTAACCTTGAGCAAAAAAAGCTCAGGGACAGTGCCCACACCTTAGTGCAAGCCCTGCAACCAACAAGAACAAATAGAATAATTCCAAGAGGTTGCCACATCTCCAGTTTGCATGGTCCAGGAGCTACTGCTACCATACGTATGTCCGTTTCAGCTATTCAAGAAATGACTTGTCCCTGACTGCTCTTGTAGAGGTAGAACAAACAAATGGATAGGCTCACCATGCTGCATGCCTGATTGTAGAGTGTCAGCGTTGGAGCTGATCTGGTGCCCATGACAGGTTTTTTTCAGCCTTTCAGGCCAGGTTGCCTGGTTCCCACCTCACACTTCTGTCAGAAATAGGTCCCACCTGACTGTACCTGAGTCTAGATCTTTCTCAAGAATGCTTCCTTTATTTCCATTCCGTTAAAAAAAAAAAACCTGATGCAAGTATGTCACAATTTAGATTGCACACAAGATGTTTGCATAAACTTCTATATACTTTGTCATGAGCTATGGTATAACTCAATGTGAGAGATGTAAAGCCCTGGGTTAAGTCCCCACAGCATAATGGGCAAAAAGAAAGTATGAGGTAGTAGCTATTCGCCTAGAACCAGGAACTCAGGCAAGTGGTTCCTCCATGGTGTGTGGAGCTGTCAGCGGAAACTTGGTAAGAACCACAGAGTCTGCAGAGAAGAGCTGGAGCTAAGACAACCTGCACCTGGGTCTGTACAGAGCTGAGCCCTGTCTCTTCTCCCTTGGCCTGGCTATGCTGGGGAGGGCTGCCTGATCCAGGGTCCCTGAGGAAAAGAATTCATAGCCCACCCTGGTGTCCAGACAGCTGACCACTAGAGGAGTTGAGCTCCCAAGCCAAGACTGAGTCACTAGAAGAACTTCCAGGCTGAGAGAGTTGTGGGTGTCCTGGGACCCAAGGTGGTTGAATGGCATGCAGAACCTTGGGGCTGAAGTATTTGAACTGCCTGGACACCTTCCATAAGCTTCTAATGGCAATAAACCAGTGAGTACTCATGCTCTGTTTTCTCCTTTGCAAGAAGAGGGAGGGCAATTTCGTCTGATACTGGGGTGGCCTATTATTATTTACAGCTCCAGCTTCCAGAAAGACAGTGATTATATAAGCTATAAGAGGTCACTTTGGACCCAGGTGCCAGTGGCTCACATCTGTAATCCTAGCTACTCAGGAAACTAAGATCTGAGGATCATGGTTTGAAGCTAGCCAAGAAAGTCCATGAGGCTCTTATCTCTAATTAACCACCAAAAATCAGGATATGGCACTGTGGCTCAAAGTGGTAGAGCACTAGCTATGACCAAAAAAGCTTAGATACCGTGCCCCGGCCCTGAGTACAAGCCCCATGATGCCATTCCCCTTCCCCCCCCCCCCCCCCCCCACCACCACCAAAAAGTAGCTTCTGGAATCCCAAAGGAACCAAAGCCATCTATCTACCCCACACTCTTAACTGCCTCCTGAAGACTTGTAGCCATTCCTCCAGTGTCTTCACACCTGTCCTTGTCCCTTTTCAGCTCTACACTGCTGTGTGACTGTTGGCCCCTCTGTGTCACTGTCATTCTAGGTCACTGAATGGCAGGGCTCTGACTTTTCCTCCCCAAAGACACTGTCAGCTGTAGGGTCTGCAGCTCCTCTCACAAGGGTGAGGTTTTCAGCTGAGAAGCAGAGGAGGCTGGGGCAGTAGCGAAGTGGGACCCTGTCTTAAGTTCCTAGCTTAAAAAAAAAAAAAGAGGCCTTCACTAGCTCCAGAGAAGCACCTTCAGCAGCACAGGCCTCCTGTCACAGAACAGAGCCTCAGTCCCTGCATCCAGACAGAAGCATGAAAGCAATCAAAACAGCCTGCGCAGAGTGTACTGCCTCAGGCCAACTCTCCCTCCACCCACTGGCCCGGAATCCTACATACACCCCCCTCCCATGTAGTTTGCTCAGCTATGTGTGTTTAATGGTTTAGTTTTCTCCTATAGTGTTGAGGCCAGCATCTCCTTTCTCTAAGCTTTCCTGCTACTGGCTAGTACTCTGCACAGGGCCTTTTTTCTGGCCCTAGCAAGTGCAAGGAGACTCCCATAAGGCCCTGGGTATGTGTACCCATCCTGCAGCTGCATTTGCAGGGCAGAAATTTCTTAAGTTATTGCAGTTGATGGCTGTGGCGTTGCTGAAGGAAGGGGAAGGGTTAGGAACCTGTCATTCTAACATTCACCAATGCCAAGCTGCTACTTTTCTCCCCTCGCCTTGTGGTGTCTGTACCATCCCTGCTTTACAGCTGAGACTTTGCAGGCTCATACACTGGCCTGACACCATGTGGCTGCAACCAAATCGGTCTTGAGTTCATCACCCATGCCACCCAAGGCAGGTGGATGGCCTAGTTCTTAGGCTGTGCCTCCTGCCTAAGAGGCAAAACTAGGGACCTCAGAGCTAGGCGCCACCTGAACTGAAGGTGCCCCATGAGGAAGAATCTGAGCATTCAGGAGGCAGCAGCACCACCTCACACAACAACACTGTAGGATCCCCAGAGTCTACACAGAAAGTGGCTGTCAGAGGCATTTTCCTGGATGGACCCATTAGGCCCCGTGTAGAAGAGCTCTGTGCTATGAGCACTGAGTGTCTAGGCAGAGGTATCCTCAGACAGGTGTTCGTATCCACTGATGAATGTGAAGGCAGTGAGGGGAGAGAATTGCCACTCTTCAGGGGGACTGTGGCCCAGGAGGCCTCGGACACTCCATGGTACTGATGGACACCAGCCATATCCAGGCTGTGTGCAGTTCTGGCAAGGAGCCACTATGTCCTCCCACCATTCCCAGAGCTCCTGCACCCCAATCCTGAGACATAGGCAGGTGCTTACCACAAAGGAGCAGCCAAATGAAACAACAGCCTTGTTTTTACTAGAAAAATGAGATGATCTGAAAAGAAATAGAGAGCCCAGACCCAACTCCAACACTTACATATAGTAAACCTTGGGATTAAATTGTTCTAAGGATAAGATCCTATGCCAAGAGCTTTCATCTGCAGCTCTAACATGTGGTTGCCCTTCTGTGGGGGCTCCGCTTAGTGCCAAGGAAAGAGACCAGAATCTGTAGAGTGACCACATATAAACACTGAACCCAGCACAGCAGCAAGCCCACAGACCCACCTACTGAGGAGATTGAAGAGGGAGAATCACGAGCCTGGAGTTTAAGACAAGCCTGTGCCAAATAACAAGCTTTCATTTCAAAACAAAACAGAGCCTGAAGAAATCAGTACAAGAAAGTAAACGGGGAGCAAATGAGAAAGGAGAGCCTGGAAAGCAGTGAAGGTAAGAGGAATGAAATGTGGATAAGACAGCTTTTTAAGACCTAATGTTGGAGTCCTTATCTCTATTTTTCAGGTAAGAAACAGAGGCATCAAGAAGGGAGTGGACCACATCCTGTCCCTCAGAGCCTTGTAAGTCACTACGGTGTCAGAAGATTTCCTCTTCCTTGGGACACCAACAACAGGGTGTCAGTGTTACCTCTGCTCATTGCCACTCTGGGCCCAAGCCTCAGCTTCCCTTTGCCCTCAGCCTCAGCCATGATGCTTGGTATGTTTAAAGGGGCCACAAGCTAGGCACTGGTGGCTCATGACTGTAATCCTAGCCATTCAAGAGGCTGTAAACTGAGGATCAAGGTTCAAAGCCAGTCTGGGTAAGAAAGTCCATTCCAATTAGGCACCAAAAAAGCCAGAAATGGAGCCGTGATTCAAATGGTAGTGCATTAACCTTGAGTAAGAAAGCTCAGGGCGGGGAGCATTCAGGCAGATCCAAAGCAGAAGAACAGCAGGCCAGCCATGGAAAAGGATAAAAGCCCAGAGATAGCTAGAGCGGCACTGCAGCATAGGGAAGACAGTTTCAGAGTTGGAAGGAGGCCTGGGGATTGGTCCTGAAAGGAGGGGGGTTAATCCCTGTCACTCTGTCTCCATGGTGGCATCTCAATCACATGTCTCTGCTGTGCTTTCAGAGTCTTCTGAGAATGATGGGAAGTCTACCCAGCAAAGGAAAACCCCTGCCAAACCCAAGCTCGCATCCTTCTGTACAAGGCCAGAGACCTGTACCCTTGCAAGCAGGTAGGCCCCAGGGCCCCTGGCAGCTAGGCTCTTCCTTGGCCCAGACTTCACTGCCTCTGAGCCTTCAAACCAGCATCCCCATCACAGCAGCAGGCACCAATGAACCTACTGAATGCCTAGCCTTTCCTAGTGAGCCTGACAAAGGAGATCCATGCTCCCATAGAGCTTGGACATTTAACAAGCAAACAAAAGGGAAAATAGGAGGGCCAAGTATGTGTCTCAGTGGGAGAGTCTAGCCTTACATCTACAAGGCCCTAGTTTGATCCTTAGCATCAATAAAGAAAAGAACAAATGAATGAGTGCCAGGGATGGTTCACACACCTCTAATCCCAACTTCCTGGAAGTTGAGTAGATGGAGTAAATTTGATCAAAGTACATTATATGCATGTTGT